CAAAAAAAAAAAAAAAATACAAACTCACCTCTCACATCCTGCTCATCTTAACGGGCCCCATCTCCCTCGCCCGGGCCCGCAACAAATGCTTCTGTATTTTCCCAGTCGCCGTCTTCGGCAGCTCCCCAAACACAACCGACTTCGGCACCCAATACCCCGGCATCCTCGTCTTCGCAAACCTCAATATATCCTCGCACTCGCATCAATTCCGGGCTTCAACGTCACAAACGCACACGGCGACTCCCCCCACCGCTCGTCCGGCCGCGCCACAACCGACACCTCCAAAATCCCCGTACAAAACATTCTCCACCTTCGCACTACTTATATTCCCCCCACCCGATATAATAATATCCTTCGACCGATCCTTAATCTCGATGTACCCGTCCGCATGCTTCACCCCTAAATCCCCCGAGTGAAACCACCCGCCCGCAAACGCCTCTTCGTTGGCCTTCGGATTTTTTAAGTACCCTTTCATGACGACATTGCCCCTGAACACGACCTCGCCCATGGTTTTCCCGTCGGGAGGGACAGGTGTCGCGTCCTGAGTGGTGGACACGACGTCGAGGCATTCGAGGGAGACGTAGCGGACGCCCTGGCGGGAGTTGAGGCGGGCCCGGGTGGAGGGGGGGAGGGACTCCCATTCGGGATTCCACGCGCAGACGGTGGAGGGGCCGTAGGTCTCGGAGAGGCCGTATGTGTGGGTGACGCGGAAGCCGAGGTCGGACATGGCGAGGAGGATTTGGGGAGGAGGGGCGGCGCCGGCGGTCATGACGTGGACGGGGGNGGTGCCTATATCTCTCAGTTTCTAAGGATTTTAGTATTTTCCTATAACTGATAAGAAAATTTAAAAAAAAAAACAAAAAAAAAGTATAGATGGGTTGAGGTAAATCTGAAAATCAAGAGATGTAGGACATTAGAAGCTATCTTAGGGAGCGTTTGGAGAAACTTCTGTGTTTAGAGGATGTGAGCTATAGCATCTGCAGGGAAAGGTAGTTAGGAATTAGAAATTAGTAGTGCTTTGAAATAGGGGACACAAGTTGGTTTAGCTTAAAAGTTAAAAGAGTGTTCAAAAGTTTCAGAAGATTTTTTTTTTTTTTTTTTTTTTTTTTTTTTTTCTCTCTTTCATTTTTCGGGTGTGAGAGTCAAAATAAAGCAAAATTAGATGGGGGTAAAGTCCTCCCCTGCTGCTTTAAGATGCTCATTAAATTATGGACAACCGCAAGCATAAATAAACATCTGAAAACACTATTCCGTCGCTAACTAGTGTGCACGCTTAGCGACAGAGAGTCGAAAGCTTCACATTTACTCTCAATCATCAGATAACAAAGGCACCTTCATCACTTGACCAACACTAACAACGTCGCATGACATCAAACTGACTCAAGAATTCTAAATACTCTTTTCCAACTTTTCTCGTATAAACCATTTAAGATAACACAAAATACATGCTCCCACAAATGTCCGAGACTCGGATTGCCCAGAGACACAAATACCAAAACAAATACTTTCAATAAAATTGACATCAAAACCGTACCTGCCGAAGGCACACGCTCGTCCCACAAAGCGCCGCAAGCGTCCAGGTGAAGCACCACCCATTGCAATGAAACATCGGCAGAGTCCACAAATAAACGGCCCCTTCTCCCATTCCCCACACAACCGCATTACTGAGGGCCATGAGATACGCTCCCCTGTGGTGCAGGACCACCCCTTTTGGGCTAGCCGTCGTGCCAGATGTGTACCCCAGCGTGATACTCTGCCACTCGTCTTGCGGGGTCCTCCAAGCAAATTCCGGGTCGCCAATTTCTAGAAACTTCTCTTACTCGATGGCTCCTTTGCTGAGAGCGTGGCGGAGGGACTCCGGGTCACAGGCTTCATCAGCAATGACTATCAGAATTGGAGGGGCGTTTTCGGATTTTTCTGAGCTGGCCATGATTTTGAGAGCTTCCTCTGCTAAAGAGTAGAATTCTTGATCGACCATTATGACTGAGGACTGGGAGTGTCCCAGGAGAAAAGCGATTGTTTGGGCATTTAGTCGGACATTGACGGCATTTAGGACAGCACCGGACATTGGGACCCCGAAATGAGCTTCGTACATGGCTGGGACGTTTGGTGCAATCACTGAGACCTGAAAATTACAAAGAAAATAAAAAACAAAGGAAGAAAGAAAAGAATTGACGCAGGGAGAGGAGAGATCAAAAGAAAATAACATGAACTGGGGACTTTACTCTCACCATCAAGCAGCATACTTTATAGTCAATGAATTATACTAATTATTTACGCAGAAGTATCATCTTTTGGGCTCAAAGTGTATGTTACTAGCATTTTCCATAGGAATAATAATAATAATGGCCAATTTGAATTTCTACCAACAAATTGGGAAGGCCTAAAAGTCCGAACTTTCTCTTGTTTTTCTTTAAAAACTTGTTGGGAACGAGGCTGTTTACCCGTGCACTATTTTAGTAATTCTCATATTATGTTTAGTTCAGCACAGATACATCTGTCTTCTAATTTTTAGTCCTTCCTCAATTTAATTTTCCACCTGATTAGAACAAGCACAGCAAGTTGGTCATCATAAATTCTCACAAAAGCTGCATTTATATACGACTGAAACATGTCATATCTATATTAAGCAAGACTTGTGCTGATAAGTGTTAGCTTCAAAATATCTCATTCAATTCATTACTACATATTGCTGGAGAGAAAGTGTGTGACATTCAATTCCTTCTCCAAAGTAAAAAACACTCATAATAGCCACTAAATCAGTTATCCTTCCTTTACATGCCTCTTGATGTTGATTTATATCGCCACCCAAAATAAATAGATCTATGTGTGTGGCTGTGGAAATTCATAAAAAAACGAAAATTCTAAAAATGCTTGTGCAAGAAATATCAGATTAATACAATAGGATTTCCAAATTTCAAAATTCAGTAGCCAGCTGAGAAAAATAAATTTATCCTCACTTTTTCCCTTTCTACATTAACAGAAAGAATGTCAACCGTAGCAAATTTCAGGACATTATCCGACCTTTCAAAATCCAATAGGTAAAAAACTAAACTAGTAATCGAATTTCAACTACTTCGACTTATACCAGCAAAATCCACGAACCAAATAATTAAATAGAAAATGATAACGCCGACACTCACAGTGCAGCCGAAGGTGACGCCGCGCTTGGTGAGGGCGGAGGCGAGCTGGCGGCACCGGCGGTAGGTCTGGTGCCACGTGTAGGAGACGGAGCCATGGATGACGGATTTACTGGTCGGGTGGACGAGGGCGACTCGCTCCAGGAACCCGGGAGGCGTCAACGCCGTGTAGTTAGTCTCGCTCTGCAACCCCAATCTGCGCGTTTTCTTGTGGTGTGATAGTGCGTGAGAGAGAAAGAGGGACACGAATGCTGCTTTTTTATGTGTGATAGAACTTAGGAGATGCGTGAGTGACCCGTTTGGTTATATACTTTATAATACTAGTAATAGCGATTCAGTTGATGAAGAATGTTTTTGTCGATTATATTTAGTAAGATAAATTAATTGTATCATTATAGGAACAAAAAGAATATAGAACAAATAAGTTTTTAATGTATTTTTTGCTAGAAATAATATAATGATGTTCTAACATAAAAAGATTTAAATAACATGTTACAACCCCAATAAAAATATATGAAAAATGAGTCCTTAATAAAAAAATTTAAATAACTAAATATGGATCTAATGTATATATTGTCGAGTCAACTATACTATAAAATATTTTTATTTTCACAAAAATTTAAAAAAAATTATATTATTTTTATGTTCTTATTTTGAATTGAGAAAAAATATGCTTTTTTTAAATATTATTTAACTTATTATAATTTTATTGATGTGTAAAAAAAATATTACATATGAGAAAGATGAAAAATTACAAACATTATAATTTGTGAGTTGTAGTGGCAGTATGTTATATTGATGGTATATTTTTTCTATTAATTAAATAGTGCCCCCAATATTAAATTATTTTGGATCGACCACTGAGACCTGTTTTCTGAGAGACAATTTTTCCAACGGTTTAAATATGATCGGAAAAAAATCTAGGAAATTCACACAACAATAAATAATGGTACTTGGAATCAAACTCACAAAAAATTCAATGTAATTTAATTTGAAATATATTACTTATAAAAAGGAAAAAAATAAAAAATACTAAGTATTTAAATATTGAAAATATAATGGCAAAAAATAATTAATTTTTTAAGTAAAAAAATTAAGACTAATATACCGATTTTAATTTGCATCTTAAGTATGTTTCTTATTTATCATTCGTCATCACCAATTGATATAAGACATTAATTAATTTTATCACTTTTTTGACTTTTGGATTGAATGTGAGCTATAAGCTTTCTCATTGTGTGGTCTTATATTTTATTACATAAAACATTATTCCTGCTCCTTGTTTTAGTTGTTATATTACTATTAAAATAATTAAAAACTTTTCAACCTAGATGTATCTTTTTTGTTTTGAATAAAATGCTAATTATCATAAATTAACTGATAATTACATTGATTGTGTTATATTTTGTATCATTATCAACAATTTTCATGATAATTAACTACACAAAATATTTTTTATAATTCAATTTTTTTATGGATCTTGAGTCATACGTTTAGTACAAGAGAATGATGAAATTCCAATAAAATATATTACAATGAAATTTCAACTATAATTCTAACGAATATTTAATGTTATTACTCCCATTTCAAATTTTCAATTTTGCAATGAAAATTTTAACAAAAATATATTGTTGGAATCATAGGCAGATTCATGTCCTGACAGAGGCCTTCAACCAAAACCATGTAGCATCTATATATATATAATTACTAGCTAATAGCATTAAATAAAACCTATTTAATTTTACCTATGTGGCAATTTAATAATTTCCCTCCAAAAACCGTTACATTTTGATGTATTTAATCTTTCATTTAATCATTAAATAATTAATACTCATCACTTCAAAATTACAAAAATCATTTTAAACTTTTGATTAATGACAGTTGACCATATAATGTGTTGACCGTATAATGTGATTAGATGTTATTATTGTTGTTACATTTTTTTTTTTTTGAAAATAAAAAATATATTTGAAATTCCTAAATAAATAATAAATAATTCACAAATAAAAGAGGTACCAAAATATACATTACATCCAATCAGATAAACGCAATTTAAAAAAAAAAAATTCCAACTCTTTTAATTGTAAATTTGGTCTGCAAAAAAGTCAAAGAAAAATAATTAATCATTATATGCATACAGACTCACAATAATTTATTTATATCTGTGCAAATGCACAGATCGAATACTAGTAAGGTAACAATTTGCGCAATATAACAAAAGTTGTGGGAACATTTTTCATAATTTTAATCATGCCCCCTATTTAGAAAATATTATTAAAAGAAATAAATATACGTAATTAATTAATTTACAACTCTACAAATTCTAATTTAATTCAGCTCATAACTTTGTTAAAGTTATAACATAAACGCGGTATCACAACTAAATTCGTAATTTTACCTTCTAATTTTATTTTTCTAATCTTGATGATAACTTTTATTCTCTCTTTTACGATATATTTTTTCTCTAACATCAAAATATACTTTTATGTCTTTTTAAATGTATGTGGAATTCTAATTATATATTCATAATTTATAATTTTATCAATTATATTATCGAGTCAACTACACTACAACATGTATTTTTTGTTAAAAAAATTTTTTTAAAAAAATATATGCTATTTTCGATGATTTTATTATGTTGAGTTGAAAAATATATGTTTATATACAACGTTTCTGGTTTTTCTATCAACATAATCTCCATCACTACAAATCACTATCTTCAAATTAAGACATATAATGGTTTTATTTTTTAAAATAATTATTGTATTTTGTATTATAGATCATATAGGAAATTTAAAAAAAAATACTAAAAAAATACCAGCGAAATATTACAAAATAAATAAATAATTGTATTTGGTTGATAAATAATGATATGTGCCAAATATTTAAGACATTTGAACAAATGGCAATTTTTGGGCCATAAAGAAATATATTGATTGAATGATAAAAAAAACCCAAATTAGAAGTCCACTTAATTTTTTAGGGTAGTCAAAATCAAATATAAAAAAGGTCAATGATAACATGACTATAAATAGAGATAAACTCTTTGAGAGTGATGTAAGCCATTTTTTTTATGTCGGCGCTTCTCTCGTTATTCACTCTGTCTGAAACCCTAATCTTTAACCCGATTTTACGACAAACTCGGCGAGATTCAATACAAAACAAATGTTTTACTAAAAATTTTCTCCCGGTAAAGGCTTAAAAAGTTAAAAAAAACATCCGAGAAATGTTGTTTTGTGGCCAACAGTAGTGATCGAAAAATAAATATTCGTCCCGATTTCTTAATCTGTGTTACTAAATCTTAACAGGTCGGTCAAAATCGGGCGATAATATTACAAATCTATGAAGAGCTGAAATATTTTTTGTTAAACGTAGTTTTTATTTTTTATTATCTTCAATTATCTGTGTCATTTTTCGAAATTCTTTGTGAATAAGCTTCAAAGATATACCATATTTTATACATAATTCGAAATTATTTAGATGTTTTTCGAAATCGTTTTTCGAAGAGAACATGACATTGGTCGAACTTTTTCAAACTTTTATGTATTTTGTTCAGGGTTTGAAAAAATAGGTAAGTTTCTAATAGATCTGTTTAGCCCTACTAACAAATATATAGGTAAGTTTATAACATATATGTTCATATCTGTTTATAACATACATATGTAACTTTTATGTATTTTCTTCAGATTTTGAACACTAAATAGTTCAATTCTTTCTCGTCTTTCTCATCATATCAGTAAGTGAAGCTTTGCTAACACTTCTTCAAAATCGCTTTTCGAAGTTGTTCAAAGTCTTTTACCGAAGTTTTTCAAAGTTTTTAGTATTTTGTTCAAAATTTGGAAATATTAGGTAAGTTTATAACAAATCTGTTTAGATATATTTATCGCATATTAAGAATTTCTTGTTTAATGTTTAAAAGAATCTGTAGGAATTTTTATTTTTAAAACTTTTACTCAAAAAATCGATTTTAATATAAAGGCAGATTTCTTGGTAAAAGTTGAATGTGTTGATAATGATAGGGAAATCAAATTATTTTTCTTTCTATATTGTATAGTGTCCAATAATATTCTACATAATTTGCTGTGTTTTTAATTTTGATTTTTCATATAGATTTGACTTTTTTTTGTTGATTATTAATTATGCTTGATATTTCTATATTATGCAACAATCTGTCATTACATACAATGCTTTGTCAATCCTCATTCTTTGACTTTGCCAATTTCCGTTTAATATGACTTTTCTGTTGCTGAAAGTATGGTTTTTAATGCATTAAAATATTGATGTTTTGGATATGTTTTGATGCTATAATCATGCAGAAATTTGTCCCGTCACTTTTTTCTTAAAGAGGTATTGTTTAATGAAAATTAATCATATTTATATTTATAATTGTGAGATAATATTTTTTTTCACGGCCAACATTTGTTTTTTTAATGAAAAATAGGAGATAATTTATTCAGCACACTTTTTAATTTATAAAACAGAATGTTGATTGCGATAATCAAATCTGCAGAAATCATGCATCTATTAATATATAAAGAGGCAACCTAAATAATTCAAAAATAGTAACTAAAAAATCATCTAAATTCCCGCCTAAATATATTACTAAACATAGTAAATTATTTTGAAATTTTTCAAAAATTCCGCCAAAACATATTTGAATTTTTTTTCGTCAAAAATTTAAATCCAAACATTTTTTTTTTAAAAAAAAAAGATTCATCTTTATCATAACTTCCTTATCATTAGCTAACTTCCATATAAAGTTAGGTTTAGGTGGGACTAGCTGTGTGCCATATTACCATGGACAACGAACACTTTTTACTTTACAGTACATTATATAGTTTGATTGGATATACAATAAAGTGAATTAATTTTGAAAAAAAAAAAAAATGATTGAATTTGGTTTTGGTGAAATTTTGAGTTTGTATTAAAATAATATTTAAAATATAATTATTAAAATTGATGTGATATATAAGTAAGAGATAAGTGATTAAAGTGAAGGAAATTTGGGTAGATGAATAGTGAGTAGATAATGTCGTGAGGATAATTGATTGATATCATAATAGTTGGGTTACGTTAAATTTAAGATAGATTTTGAGTTAAAAAAATTATATGATCAGTCATCTAATATTTAAATATACATATTAACCACAATTATATCATTTTTCAGAACAAAATGATTGTTATTTCATAACACTAATATAATACTCGTGTACTACATAGGTACTTAAATATGTTAATATTTGTACAATAAAAATTAAAATAATTTACGTTTTTATTGTGAAATTATGTATGATAAATATGAAACAATAATAAATAACTAACAAATTGATAATTAATTCAACTAGTGCCCGTATTTTGACACTAAATTTGCCAAAAAAAATATTCTTAATTATACTTTTATAAATATATATGTATAAAAACTGATATTATTTAATACTTCATATATTTTATTCATTTAAAAAAAATAGAACAGAGCTAGTATTAACATTGTTTGAAATCGTGCGATCCCCTTCTCCTCCAAACCCTACCCGCTTGTTCCCCTCCAATTCAGAGTTGATCGGCCTTCCTCTGTGGTAATTGAGCTTGGGTCGGTGGTCGTCCCCCGGCCGCCTGGCCTCCGCCCAGCTTCACGCGCCTACCTCGTCACTTGTTTCAGGTAAGCTTTCATCTCTCAAGTTTGGGTCGGTTTTCAGTTGCCGGCCCGTGGGCTCTTCTCATCGGCTTCCTGGGAGTGGCGATGGGGTGTGGGTGTTCGGATCTCCGCTGAGTTCTCAGCTTTCTTCCCCTTTCCTCCGGTGGTGGTCTGGGGAGGACCATAGTTCTGTCCTCCGACTAGTGGTGATAGCAGAGGTGGGGCCGTGGTGGGCGGAGGATTGCGGCAGATTCGGTGGGGTGGATGGTGCCTCGGTTGTTCGGCGGCGATGGTGTCGGACGGCCGGAGCTCCGCTATGCCTCCAGCCTTCTTCCCCTTTCCTTCGGTGTTGGGTTTGGGGTGGACCATTGTTCTGACCTCCGGCCAGTGGTGATGGCAGAGGTGGAGCAGTGGTGGGTGGTGGATTGTGGCGGCTTTGGGAGGTCGGGGACGTGGCTACTGCCTCGGCATCTTCGTGGTTCGGGGGTTTACCGAGTGTGGTTGAACTCGCTAGTGGTGTTAGTAGGCCCAATCGCGTGGTGGTCCTGAGGCATCTTGGGTGTTGAGGTCGTGGTTCGAGTTTGATTTCGGATGTTGTTCTGGGGCTTGGGTTTTGACTTCGTTAGGCCACCAATTTGGTGTTTGGGCAGTTTCGGGTCGGCTCTCTTTGGCTGTGGGACTCTCTCTGGATTGACTCGGTATTCATCGGCTCAGCTTGGTTTCGCTGCTTAGGAAGGGCTTATTTAGTGTGCTTAGTGTTTGTTTGTTGTTTTCTGTGTTTTTTGTTCGTTAGTTGGTCTGTGTGTTTGTTTGTTTTTGTTTGGATATGAATACAGGCTAGGCATTGTGCAGTGGCTCTGTTATTTATGTTCCTTTATTTTCGGTTGTGGAGTTCTCTAGGCCGCCATGTGCGTGTCCTCTCAGTTTTCTCTTCCTGTTCTTTTTTTAGGCGTGTTTTTGGTTTGGGCCGTTGGCCCCTGTCTCTATTGTATTGTGATTATATGTATATTTATAGAGTCAGTGTATCATGTTTATTAATATTTCAAGTATTTTAAATTCATATAATTAATAATTTAAAATTTACGTAGAAATGTATTATTTTTTAACTTTATGAAATACAAAATTATTATATTATATTTAATTATGATAGTCTTTGATATTTACTGTTTTAAACAATATAATATATTTAAATTGAGAAGTAATATTTTGTAATATTTTTTAAAATTTATGTTATGTAATTTTATCCAAAATTTATGGAAAAACTTTAAAATGATTATTTTATGGTGTATTAATGAATTAGATTTTTATCTATATCTATATCTATATATAAAGGTTTGATTATTTTTTAAATAGTACCTATTTCTCTCCAAATAAATTTTTTTACTATTTCGAGAAATTAATTTAGCAATTATTGTATATTTCAAATAATCACTTATGGAAATTGCGGCTCATTATTTAAAAAAATAATTAAGACATAAAAAATCATTTTTAAGATACCTTACTTAATCAAATTAATTTAATAATTTATGGTATATTTCAAATAATCACTTATGGTAAATTCATTTTTAAGATATCTTAATTACTCAAATCATATGAATTAGCTGATTTACCCAAATATGAGAATTTCAGCTACAATATCAATTATGTGATTTGGTAAAAAAAATTCAACTAAACTGTGTAATTTATTATTTAATAAGTATTTTATATTTTTCGTGTAATCCTTTTGTAAAATACATTTTTAATATACCTTAATTATGCAAATTGAATAAATCCGAGTGATTTTATTCAATCTGTAAATAATTACTACAATTACACGAACATCGACAACAATAATTAATTAAGCGGTTTGCAAAAAACTGTTAAAAAAAATAGTGTTAATAACAATTTTTATTTAAATATTATTTAATAAATATTATTCATTTTTTGTCTATTTAATTGCTCAAATCGTGGATAATTAATGAAATATTTGGACCATAAAAATGTGAGTCTTGATTTTGTTTGCAGGCTAGGCAATTAATTTCGTGGTTAAACTGAATATCATTTTTTGTAATTTAGTGATAAGTATTAAATCAAATTATTTGGTATACTATATATTGATCCAATATACCCGCTTATGGTAATAAATGGTATCTCAATTTTTTTTTTCATTTTGCTAAGCATTTTACTCGATATTATTGAAAGAAAAATCTGGAGAATACTATGGTCGATTCTTTTTTGTAAATGTGCGTGGCACATATCAAATTATTTGGTGTGTGTGTGTGTGTGTAAAAGGTTTGAATTTACTTAAATCACATTATAGTCAAATCGAATTTCTGAATAAAAAATTTAAAATGACACATATTTTGAAATGAATATAATGTAACTTATTATCAGTTACTTGCACCGTACGAGTTGTGTACTAATTTTAAATAGACATGTTTTATGTAATTTTGCATAATTTAAATTTCATATAATATTTTCAACAAATTAATATAGGTAAATTGTATTACATATTGATTTCATATTTCTAATTTATAAATATTATTTAATAAACATTTGTAATTTATAAATATTAATGGATATTTCTTACTCGTGCATCGCACGGGATTCGTACTAGTTTTATTGAATAGTAGTAATATAAAATATTTTATTATTACTACCAAATGGAAAGTCAAAGATAGTTAATTTTGCACTATTAATTATGATCATATGAATTTATTTTTATACATATGTTTTTTCAATGAACTTTTTAAATGATAATATTGACAATATATACTTTGCTATAATAATTATATAGACTGTGCTATAATAATAATTTATTTATTTAACTCATTAATTTTTTTAAATTCATCTTATTATGCGTATAGTCTAAGTTTATAAATTATATGTCATTTAGATGTATCTATACTACTAATTTATAAGGTTTTACCATTTGGGAGAGCTAAATTTTTAATTTTAATTATGAAACTAATCTTTATTATCATTTTGCAGCTATATGTTTGATGGAGTATGGCTGGAAATTAAATTACAAAAAAAATAATTTCATTTTTATATTGTAATGTAGATGATCTGTATTATAATGTTTATATTTAATATATTTATTAATATTTTTTATAACTTTAATTGCTTATTCAATTCATAATGGAATAAAAAAAAATAATAATATATAGTTTCTGCGCAACAATAATGACTGCCACGTTTATATATATAAATGAGAATAAGAAACATAAATGTGGGATTAACTAAAAGAAGCCTTTTTAATTTAGCCATTAACTCATTAGGTTTAACTAAAAGAAACCTTCTTAAATGTAGAATTAGTGATTAATTAATTAAAAAAAATGTAACTCCTTTTGGAGGGAAAGTGAAAATATTTTTATTAAATGTTTTATTAAATAGGATTAGCTAGTAATTATATATATATAGATAAGTTAAGATGGATATTGGTGTATTGTTAATTTGCCATTAAAAATATATAAAAGTAGGAGTGTTCTAGGTAGTTCATATTTTTACAAAAACACTCGTCCTTTTAGAGCAGTATAGATAGATAGATATAGATATAAATATAGATAGATAGATATAAATATAGATATATATAGATATAGATAGATAGATATAGATATAGATGAAGAAAACAGTGTAATATTTCTACATTGATAGAACTTGATGCGTCCCGTTCGTTGTTTATAATATTAATATGAAGAAAAAACACTGTAATATTTCTACTTTATTTACTGACATCATCGAATACAAAAATACAAAAATAGCCACTTTACAAAAAAGGGTTGATAACATCCTATTGGCTTTTTATCTTGGCTTGGAAAAATCTATATATCTATATAAAGAGTCAACCTATTTATCAAAAAAAGTAATAAGAAAAGTCAACTACTATTTATTGCATTCTATTTTTGACGTTTTTTGAATTTTCTTTTTAAATTATTCCCAAAAAGTCGATCAGCTATATATGCACCCTAAATTCATGGGTTTTGTGGATTTAATTTAGGTAAATTTTGACTGATGCTTACAATTTTTCAGAAGTCAAATTTTTTTCTCATTTTTTAATAAAAAAAAAATTGATTACCATAAAATCGGGAATTTCGAATTATGCAAAATACTATCACATATATCTTTTCCTAATTGCAACAAATCAATTATTTATTAAAAAAACTCGGATTGAATAGAAATCGGGTTACTTTAGGTAAAGTTCGGCATGACTATTCTGTAAAAATCAAAATTCTCTCATTTTTTATTAAAAAAGACATGTTTACCATAAAATCGGGAATTTCAAATTAGGCAAAATACTATAACATGTATTTTTACCTAATTGCAACAGATCACGTTTATTAAAAAAAAATAGGATTGTATAGAAATCGACCCCAATTTCAAATTGGAAATTAAAATTTAAAAATCCCGTATCATTTGGCTACTACTTTCTTTAGTTTCGGATTTTTTTAAACATCAAACAGAGTCAGAAAATATTAATTTTAAATTCAAAATGAAATCGGATTAGAACGTCCTAAAAATTTTGGTTTTGTTTAAGCTTCGAGAATACAAAATTGAAATTGATTTCATACACTTACACATTTTTTCCTTCCTTAAATTAAGTAATTTACAGTTTTAAAATAATAAGGCTATAGATTATCAAGAAAGACGTTTTGCAATCTTCGTTATATTTGACTATGCAATCTTAATAAAAGTAGTATAAATTATATCATAAATATCCTGCTAAATAATTTAATTGATTTTATTTAAGCCTATCTAGAATCCTAATATAATTTGTGGCGATAGACAATGTACCAAAAGACCAAACAAATAATATTGTGTACAATGATGTGTTTAATAATATATAAGTTACATTTTATTTTATTCCAAATACATGCATTTTACGTTCTTCCAATCATCCAAATCTAAATGTTTACCTAAATAAAACTAGCACATGCATCGCACGGGTACCGCACTAGTTGAAATGAAAACACTGTGATTTTCCAGACGCGCAAATATAGTACAAAACCCAAATCTCCCTTATATATATAAAACTAGTATTCAAAACTCAAATCTCCCTTATATATATAACTAGCAATCATCATGTACATATGCACAAATATAAATAAAATATTATAAGTTATATATATAAATATAATAATAAATTATAAATTAGATAATGAACATACCAAATATTTTTAAAATCAATTATTACTAACAATTAAACAGTATAAATATAAAATATTTAAGTATATATGAATCACCATATTGATAGAAAAAAAATTTGCTGATAATGTAAATTTTAATTTTGAGGGATCATGGCCTATTAATATAGTTGGAAACTTATTATTATTATTTTAATAATTTAGAAATAATTATTCATAAGATTTTAAGGTGGTTTGACTATGCTATTAACTAT